GACCTATGGCTACTGCTGCTCCATGGGTAACAAAAGGTGGAAGACAGCAAGCTCGGTACTCCCAGAAGCAGCACCACTGAACTGTGCTCCCTGAAGACTGTGCAGAAAATCAGGCCCCAGAACTCCCACTGCCAACTGGTTTGGTTCTCCTGTGCTTGCAGCACTACTGAACTACCTTCCTGGAGCCCAAGCCCGGAAGGCAGGGCCCAGAACCCCTGCTGTCCAAAGGCTTGGTTCCCTTGTGCCTTCAGCAGTTACCATTACTCCAGGTAGCCCAGCACCAACAAGCAAGCCTCTGGGCTAAAGCTGCCTGCAGACTTGGGTCCCCTACACCAGCAGCTGCCATGGCTCCTGGAACCCCACACCCAGGAGTAGACCCCAGAGCCTCTGCTGCATTGTGGGCACTAGACAATTCAATCCTGTCAGTTTTACTGCCCGACAGATATCTTCAACTTGCTACTTAGTGCCAGGCTCCAGCCTTTGTTATTCTGCTGGTGCCAGGAGGCTTCCCTCCCCACAGAGCATGGAGGCCCAACACTCCCCACTGTCCCTGACAGCAAGAGAGCCCTCGCTCCTCCATCAAAGAGTGAACACCAGATTCCCCACTGAGGGGAGGAAAGCTATAACCTGCTACTCAGGAGGTGGCACCAGAACCCCTGTTCCCTCAAGGTACACAGAAGCACAGTGCTTCATGCTGCACCTCCCTGCAGAAGAGTCACATCTCTCCTGTCCAAGAGCTGGAATCCCAACTCCTCCACTGAAGGCAATCCGCTACTCTGCTGGTGCCAGGAGGCCTGCCTCCCACAGTGCACAAAGACCCAACACTCCCCACTATGACTGCAGGAGAGCCCCTGCACCCCCATCAAAGAGCAGGAACTCCAGTCCCCTCACTGATGAGAAAAAAGAGGTTATCACTACCACAATAAGACCCCTGCAAGTGGTAAATTATCCAACACCCTGTTATGTGATGGGTTTTTTCAAGATAGGGTCCTAAACTATTTGCCCAGGCTGGCCTTGAACCGGTATCCTCCTGATCTCTGCCTCCTGAGTAGCTAGAATTATAGTCATGAACCACAGCATCCAGCTCACAGTGAAACCCCTTTGCAATTAATTTAGGCTAGTAGTTTTATAAAAAAAGAAATCTCCTAGAACCCAGTGATAAATGTAGGATGTGATATTTTAAAATTCTCTTGCAGTTTACACAATTGGGCATTAATGGCCTTCTTGGTCCTCTGTGATACTCAAGGTCTTTCTATAGGTGGCTCCTTCTGCCCAGAATGGTTTTATCCTTTCCTCTTCATTGATTATTCTTATTTAAAGCTTTAGAGTTCTTCAAATATCAGTATTTCAATAAAGCCTTTCCTTGCCGTATAGACTCAATTTAGTTTCTCTCATCTCATAGCATAATCACAGTTTTAATTAACTAATGGCACAATGAACTATATAATCTATCTGTGGCCTGTCTTCTCCCTCCTTGTAAGCTTCATGACAGTAAAGGACTGGATGGGTCTTCCTCACCTCTCCACCCATAGATCTAAATACTCAATAATTGCATGTTTAATAAATGCAGGGACTGAGGTATAGATTGTGTTTAGCATGCTCAAGGCCCTGAGATTGATTCCTAGCACCACCTAAAATTAAAAAAAAAAAATAAAAGAAAGAAATGCATGAATCCACTTTTCAAGACTCAATTCAGTCTACATGCTTGTGACACCATTTCTGATGACCATAGGTCAATTTGGAGCTTCTCCCTATATACTCCCTGAAGTGTATACAAATACAATGATTTTCTTGCCATATTGTAATTGTTAATATATATCTCTAATAGTCTTTAAGCTTTTTGAAAATGAAAGTAAACATTTTTGTATATTGCTACAAATAGGAGTTTCCTGCATAGATATGGAACTCAGTAAATGCTTGTTAAATATAATATCTGTACATAGTTAAAAATATAAATGATATTTTAAAATGAAATCCTTTATTAACACAAATAGACTTAAAGTGGGATTTTTCTTCTGTTTTTGAAATGTGATATTTTTCATAACTTAACAATAACAATTTGAGCATGAAAAAAACAATAAGGAATAATACTGCAGCCAATTTTCATGAAATTTGTCAGTTCTCAAAGGATAGACTAAAACAACAAACAGAGAAATTTATACATCTTGCTTGCTAGGGTGTTGTTCATTGTCTAAGAGGTTTGAATAGCAACTTTAAGTTTTTCCTTTCACTTAAATGGATGCTTCAACTTTGTTCCTCATAAAAAAGAAAATGTCCACTTTTTGTGCCTGATAAATGAAAGTTCAGTTTGACAGACTTCAGATTTCAGTGCAACTCAGGTTAAATGCTCCTCTACAATGTTAAAGGTCAATAAATGGTGTGGTTTAAACCATTTTTATATGTCAGTTATATGTATATTTTGTTTGTTCAAATGTGTTTATTGATGGAAATTTCTAATAAAGATTCCATTAAATCAGAATAATAAATTCGTAATTCAAATTGTATCTTCTTTATACCATAAGTGCTCAGTATATTATTTCCAACAATGCTTTGAGCATGACATTCATAAAGAACATTTTCTACAAAGTGGGTATCCCAGCTTCTGATTTGAATCTCAAGTTTTTGTTGAATGAATGGGTGAAATCATGTCAATACGTATTTTCATCCACATCATAAAGTTGTGTAATTGAAGGGCAAACTATTATTTCATGCCTCTGATATCAGAACTGTAATTGAGATTTAAAAACTTGGTTGTAGGTCTTATAGCTGGTTTGTAAACCTAAGCATTTGGAATTTAAATCTATTTACCTAGCACATTATTTCATGTATCTTTGAGTAAACACCCAATTCCTTCTTTATTTCTGCATAACAAATGACTTCAAAACTTAATGACTTAAAATAATAGCTGATCATTTCACCATAATACTGTAGATCTATAATACAGGCATGTTTTAGGCAGGTTATTTTCCTGTTCTCAGTTATATAGCTAGGGTCACTTTTTAGATTTCATTCAGCAGAAGGATTAATTCTAAGGCACATTTCATCCTCTAGGATCATTCTCTATATGGTCTCTAATCATTTAATAGTCTAGTCTGAACTCCATTATGGCATGGAATCTGGCTCCAAAAGAGAAAATATGAATGCTGTTGATTCTGTTCCACTGTCAAATCTGCCACATTATATTGGTCAAAACAAGCCACACAACTGAACTAAACAGAACTTTTTCAAAAGAAGAAAGTCAAATGGCCAAAAAACACATGAAAAAATGCTCACCATCTCTGGCCATAAAGGAAATGCAAATCAAAACCACACTAAGATTCCACCTCACCCCTGTTAGAATAGCTATCATCAAAAACACCAACAACAACAAATGTTGGCGTGGATGTGGAGGAAAAGGAACCCTTGTGCACTGCTTGTGGGAATGCAAACTAGTGCAACCGCTCTGGAAAAAAATATGGAGGCATCTTAAAAAACTAAACATAGATCTGCCATATGATCCAGAATCCCACTCCTGTGGATATACCCAAAGGAATGCGACTCAAGTTACTCCAGAGGCACCTGCACACCCATGTTTATTGCAGCACTATTCACAATAGCCAAGATATGGAAACAGCCAAGATGCCCCACCACTGACGAATGGATTCAGAAAATGTGGTATTTATACACAATGGAATTTTACTCAGCCATGAAGAAGAATGAAATCTTATCATTCTCAAGTAAATGGATGGAATTGGAGAACATCATCTTAAGTGAAGTTAGCCAGGCTCAGAAGGCCAAAAATTGTATGCTCTCCCTCATATGCCGACTTTAGATCTAAAACAAATGCAGTAATATTATTAGACTTGGGTCTCACGCTAAGGGGACACATACAGGAGGATTAGGGAAAGGTAGGAAACCCAAAACTTGAAAGTGTTTGATGTGCCCACTGCAGAGGAGCTAATACAGTAACCTTAAAATGACAGAGGTCAATATGGGAAGGTGACCAGGAAGTAGTGAAGCGGTCAGGTAGAGATGAATCAATTCGGGTTGTAATACACTTGTGTATGGAAGCAATGCTAGGAGTCTCTCTGTATAGCTATCCTTATCTCAGCTAGCAATACCACTTGTCTTTCTTATTATTGCTTATGTCTTCTCTTCAACAAAATTGGAGAAAAGGGCAGAACTGGTTCTACCTGGAAGCGAGGTGGGTGGGGAAAAGGGCGGGCGTGGGGGGAGTGGGGAGAGAAATGACACAAACAATATATGTACATATGAATATATGAATAAAGGGAAAAAAGCCACAAGCTCAGATCATACTCATGAGGTTGGGAAATAAACAATATCTTTTGATGCAGAGTGATAATTTGTGGGAGACATGGGGGAAAGATGACCCCTAGGTACTAAGTTACAGATAGATAAGAATAAGGTCAAGAGTAATGTTGCAGAATAGGGTGATTGTAGATAATGATCATATACTGTACATCTGAAAAAGCAAGAGAAAGGATTTTGAAAGTTTTTGCCATTTAGAAATTATATTTGAGGGGAGATGTATATATAGATAGATGATAGATAGATAGATATAGATAGATAGATATTTAACCTGGTTAAACATTGTACAATATACTTGTGTATGAAACATTATGTTACCTCATAAATATGTACAATGTTTATGCTTTTATGTATCAGTTAAAATTTAAATTAAAAAATAAAGAATTTGTAACTATCTTTACCATGCATACAAAATAATGAGAATATAAACAAATAATTGATATTATATATACTACTTCAATTACCACAGATGGTTTCCACTATGTTTTCAAATTCAGTTAGCACTGTGAAACTTTCTGGAAATCAGGATGTGTGGTCTCTAACTCTGATAAGTAATAGCTTCAGAGTTGATGGATAGTTTTATTTATGTTCTTCTTAATGTGCAATAGATGCCCAAATATTTTAGCATGTTGTAAAGTATAAATATCTACTCTTATCTAGTTACATGTTTAGTAATAAGTTGTTTTAATAGAAATAATAATAGGCTTTGTTCAAATTTTCAGTTTGCACAAAGTTCTAATGGATCTCCAGAATCAGAAATTGAAAGAATTAAATGACTGGCTAACAAAAACAGAAGAGAGAACAAGAAAAATGGAGGAGGAGCCCCTTGGACCTGACCTTGAAGACCTAAAACGACAAGTGCAACAACATAAGGTTAGTATATTTATACTTTATGATTTTTATTATAAAACAAACTTTACTTGTATATGTATATTGCATACACACATAAAAAATCATGATTTGGAGATAAGAAAGCTTCAAATCAACAATAGTTAAAAATAATTGTATCTAGTATTTTTCCAGTCTTTTTCTGTGGTTTGACTATGTCTCCTTTAAAATTCAGTTGTTGCCAATGTGATAGTTATAAGAGACAGATCTTTTAAGATCTATTAGGTCATGAAGCCTCCTCTTATGTGAGATATTAAGGTCCCTATACAACAGGATTCATGTAGCATTTGGTTATCTCTTGCCCATCCACATAAGAACACTGCAAGAAGACCCACAGTAGATGATCTTGGACTTACCAGACTCTAGAACTGTGAAAAAATTCATTTTTGCTCTTTATAAATTACATAATATCAAATATTTTTGTCATAATACAATATACTAGGGCATTTGCTTTTTTCCAAATATAATATAACTAGGGTTTTGTATTTTAAAGCAATCCAATTTATTCCTGGAAGAGAACAGGATAGGGTATGTGATTTACTAAAATTTTGGTTTTCTGGGAGAGAGATTTTGTAGGAATTAGCTACAATGCATATTTTAGTTATTTAAAATATTGATGACAATGGGAATCTGTAACATTGCTTTCCTATAAAATGTAATCTTTTAATTTTAATATTACCATCTTCAGTTTACTCATATATTTATAGTTATGCCCCCATGTTGTCAGAAAGCATTTTTTGTTTCTGTAAGAAAGCTACTCAGAAATTCTATTAAGGATTTGTGTGTGCTTCATTAATGCTACAAAATACTGGCTTTTATACTTGCAACAGGCCCTTTCCCATTCCATGAAGAAATAAATGCAGCAAAGAATCTTAGTAATTGAAACAGGATTAGAGTTAGCGCATTTAGCAAATAAAAATACAAAACCTAGTTAAATTAGAATTTCAGATAACAACCAATATTTTTAATGTTTGTTTCGCAAATTATTTGTTGTTCATTTTAAATTCACATTGTTCTGGTCATTTTTCATTTTTTATGGCAATTTTCAAGATCAGTGTTTCTTTGATTTATGACTGCAAAAGGAAATATCTGCTCCCTCAATTTATATCTCCAAAGTCAGTGTTGTGCCTGAGTTCATTTTCCCTTTTTATAATAATTTGTTAGATCTAGCTTCAGAATTCTTCCATGAAAACAAAAGATACCTTTCTTTCTATGATCCAGAGTTTATATTTTCTTATTTACTGAGCTTCATATTTGACTAACTGATGGAGTTAGTCCTTGCTATTTCTGTCCTTAAAGCAGTCCACTGAAGGTCATGCACTGAAGAAGAGTGGCAGCTATGGCCATCTTCACACACCCAACCATCAGGACAAACAAAGCATCGATGGTATAATAATTATTGCATGGCATTTTGACTAAGGTTAATTTATCACAACATTTTAGTTGAACATCTGATGAAGAAGTTAGATTCAGTGTTAGTTTTCATGTGCATCATGCATTCCTCTCATGGACGTTTTGCCTGCCTTCTTCCCCTGGCCAGTGTTGGAAGTTATGAGGTTAGTTAATGCCCTCAGGATTATCTCAGCTAACTTGAGGGTCACAGGAAGTGGATCATCTCAGCTAATCTGAGGGTGTACTGCCTTAACTGCCCTTAATGTATGGGAGTTAAAGGATTATTCCCTCAAATTTCTTATCCCATGGTAGAACAATTCCAAGGTGTGTCCCCCACAATTTCTATGAGATTCTCCAGCAAGACTGAGCCCCAAATGTCCACAGGGTAATTTGCTTTGTATTTTTATAATGCATCATGGAATTGCCTCCCAAATATACTCCTTGGTCCTACGTCTTTGCCTCATCATCTGTTTGGAGCAGAGGGGAAACCTAAGCTAAAACAACCTTCCTGCCCTTGAAGAAAGCGTTCAAGGACTAACTAGATTTGTGATTTTCAGAATCCACTAAATCTCACTTGTTTTCCATATCTTCACTTTGAAAAAAAATGAGTTCAACCACTTGGTTTCTGGTGTTCCTTCCAGTCATGGTATTACAGTGTTCTGTTGCTATGGAATATGAGGTTTTTTGCAAGGCAAAAGCTGTAACATTGAATAGATATCAGAGGGCAGGATACTGGAGTGTAAAGAAGCCAGAAGAAAGGCTCCAAAAGAATTGGAAGGAAAATGTTAATGTAGCCATAAGTATGGATAACTTAATGAGATTACAATGAAAGGGCTTAGCCTGGCACTATGAACAGATTCTTTATTAACTTTACACAGGTCATCCAGGATCTTAATATTCTAACAATTACTTGAAATGTTTTGTACTATCCTATGGAAGATATAAAGTGAATGGAATGGAGAATATTTGATTAATACTATCATAAAATTTGAATAGATTATCCATTGTTAGAAAATATATTTCTGATGAGTATGAAATTGCTTTGAAGAAAATAATTTGAAACAAAAAAATCAAAAGGATTATATGCAAGTTGATTATATAACATTTTATATTCAGGACATATTCATGTGAAGTGCATAAAGAGAGCAGAGGAATTGGTTTGCTGGCTCAGAGTGAAGCCAACCTCTACCATTAATTGTGCAAACACACTTTAGGAAGTATTAGTATTTATAAATATTTGGGTAATGAAAGTGATTTTAAATTTATTATGAAAGGAATGCACTTTCAATAGACTGAAGTGGGTCATCTCTAGAGAGTGAGAATGAGAACAATCAGTATTTATGTATTTATAAAACTAAGACAATGAAATGCACATGTTCAATAGAAAGCCTGATAATTGATAATAGTATATTGTAACAACTTTTGTAGATGCCACAATGTACCCAATGATAATAAAAATAAATTTAAAAATTCAATAAAAAAAGAAAATGTAGTAAAATCAAACAATTTAAAAAGTAGTTGCTAATTACCCTGAGTTAGTCATTACACAGTGAATACATATATCAATATCCCACTGTTACCCATAAACATTTATACTTATTTAAAAATTAAAAATAAATATAAGTTCAATTTCTTTAAATATGAAGCATGATCTATACTTAAAGCACACAATTAAATACTTTTTGTTAGAGTTCCCATGCTTCATAAAGTGAAAGAAGATAAATATTCTTTTTTTAGGTAACTGACTTTGAACTGAAGGCTAATATAAATAGTCATTGATTTACTTTACAGCTTTTTCCCTAAAATATATAAATCAAGAAAAATAGAGAAAATTTTCCTTTTGACAATATAATACAGCAATAACTGTAGTATACAAAAAAATTAACTTTCCCTGCTGCATGTCCATGTTTCCTACCTAGTGTATTCAGGTCATTTAACTATTTGGTGATAAACCTAAAATGTTTGAGCCATCTCCATTTGATTTTATTTTACTTTCATGTTCAGAACTAGGGATTAAATCCAGGACATCATACATGCTAGGTAAGTGCTCTACAGCTGAGCCAAACCCCTAGTTCCCCAGTTTTTTCTTAGCTATGATTTCAGATAGCAAATTAAAGATGCACTCTTTTTTGTACAGATTGATTAAAATTCTTCTCAGAACAGAGGCCACGTGTTCCCTTTCTCAATTGAAGAGGATGATTAAAATATTTGCAGATCTTCCAAGTACACCATGAATATTGCAGTTATGCTTCTGTACATTCTGTGACAGGATCTTTGCTATGTTCATTTCAACAGCATTTTATTATAAGGCAGGTTAGAAATTCAACCACTGTGAAATACCATAAATATAAGTCACTTTTAGCAAATCTGTCAATTAGGCAAGGTAAGACAACTGATCCTGTATTTGAGGTTATTATTAAATTCAACCAAACTGCTATGTCTGGATAAATATAAAGTTCAGTTGGTTGCAAAATTTAAAAGAAATCATTCAGTCTTCATAGCTGTTGCTTTTGGAGAGAGAATTTAGAGGTTTGCTTTCTATTTGAGGTAAGCAATAGTGATTCTCTTTGAGGAGTGAGAATATTAAACCTCTCGTTCACTGGTGAAGAAACATGTCAGAAATAATTCTGGCTTATCATTTCGTTTTTAAGAAACAGACTGTTAGTGATGCTGATAAGGGATTTCTTTCAAATTAGTAGCAATATTATTGAGGAGTAAAAGCCTGTTTTAGACTTGAGATTTCATTGATGGGACAGAAATTTAGCATTTTGAAGGGTATTTTAATCTAAAGGAAAATGTGATATATATTTTCTCAAAGCAGTCAAAGTGACATGGAGTTTAAAGCTTGATTTATTACCTAAGTTTCCAATTCTTTTGACAGACTTAGACTTTTGTCCCATATACATTGTCTTAGTGACACCATTAACAAAGTCCTTATATAAGTTACTGCAATTTAGTCATATAAATATAACATATGCACTATATTCTGACCTTAGAGTATGTTGTTAAATGCTGATTAATACGAATTAACCTCTTAGAAGCTCTGTGACCTATCTTTGAAGCTTAGTTAATCACAAACATTTGAGTTGCCAAGATTATGAAATATCCTTATCTGGTGACTTTTTAAAGTGATCTAGATGTTCATGTAACAGGAAGAGTTAAGTGTAACTGCCAAAGTATCTGACATTTTATTTCATTCCATTGCATCCTATTCCATATCGCTGAACAAACATTCATTAAAGAATATGGGTACTGTGAAGAATACAGAGTTCAGATCTATATGCAAAATCATCCTCAAGAAGCTCACATTTTAGTAAACAAGTAAAAGACACAGAAAACAAGAAACCATTACATAGAGTAGAATATGGCAAATGGCATTAGAGTTTGAAATAGTGGTCTGTTTGAGTACAGGAAATGAGGTGGGGGAAATGAGAGTTATGTCATTTTCCTGGTTCATGTATTAAGTTATAGCATACCAGATTAAAACTAGAGGAATAAAGCCTGATGGCAGAGGATCTTAGATACTTGCAGCTGTTCTTTAGATAACAGAAAACCATTACTGTTCTAAAATTAAAGAGAATAGCAATTTAGGA